ATTTGTTTATCCCTGTTGAGTTCAGTTAAGAAAAAATAGTCACGATAAGTTGAAAAATATCTAAAATGTCTTCTAAACTTTACAGATATAGTTTAAAGAATCCCAGATGTATTTTTTTTAATCTGAATTTATGAAAGGTTTGGCATGCCTGGTAGTGCTGTTTACATCAGTAATCTCAGGTTTATATTTTCCTTGTAGTAATGATTAAGTGCAGACTTTATGTTTTAAGAGTGTTTTGGCGGGGCGTGGTGGGTCACGCCTGTAATCCCAGCACTTTGGGAGGCCGAGGTGGGTGGAGTTGAAGATCAGCCTGACCAACATGGTGAAACCCCATCTGTACTGAAAATACAAAAATTAGCCAGGTGTGGTGATACATGCCTGTAATCCCATCTACTTGGGAGGCTGAGGCAGGAGAATCACTTGAACCCAGGAGGTGGGGGTTGCAGTGAGCTGAGATCTCACCGTTGTACTACAACCTGGGCAACAGATCAAGACTCCATCTCAATAAATAAGTAAATAAACTTTTTTTAAGAAAGAGTGTTTTGTGGATTTGTAATTTTAATTATGAAATAGCATGGAAATTTTTTTTTGCATAATTTTTTTGGGGATGGTTTTGTATGAGGCAAAGCTAATTTGGTAAAGGTATTTTTTTTAGAAAGCATTGTTTTGAATTTATCATCTTATGTATTTGAATTGGGATGACTTGTAGACTCTCGTTTACATATTATGTACGTATTTTTGCCGATAACGAATTCCAGAAGGATTGTGAAATGATAAGTGATCGAAGTGTAACAGCATAACTTTCTTTTTGTCATTGTACACAATACTGAAGATTGCTCTTTTCCAGAAACACCACATTATGACGCACAATTTAACTCACTGGGTAATAATTGTAAGCAGGATGATGCTATTACATTTTCCAGTCTTTGTGTTTGCATTGATCACGATCTTTCTTTGCTTTCACCAATGTCTGACATTTCAAAGCAATATACTCATGCAAAGTGATGAAGGAAGAAAATTGAGGACATATTTGGATTTCCTCACATATAGTTAAATCATTCAGCACAATGGCAAAAAAAGATTTCAAAAGGAAGAAAAATATTTAAACTGTTTAAAAGTGTAATCTTTTCTACAAGTTGTTTTTCCTCAAGTTTTTATATCAATAAGTTACAAAATCTTTAAAAACAGAGTAGTACGTGAAGACCTGTATGATGTTCTCCTAGCTTCACTAATTTTCTACATGGTTAGGCTTTATGTTTATGTCTCTTTTTCTTGCTGAGTTTATGACAGTGTTACTTCTATTAACGAAGAGTAGTTGTGTGAATTGCTGCCCCCTTGGGGCGTATATTCCACTTTAGATCTTTAATCCTTGTGAAGTTTACTTTTTTGTATGTGGTGTGAGATTTAAGGATTTATTTTATTTTCTTCTCAGTGGGTAGGTAATTATGTTCTGACAATTTATTACGTAAATCATTCTTTGTCCATGAATCTGATAGCCCATTTTATCTTGCTTTATGTGTGTGTATATACTTGGATCTGTTTTTCAGTTCTCTCATGTCCTTATGAAATATGTCTATT